ATGAAATTGAATACAGCTTCTGATTTCATTTCTTGAAATTAATCATGCATCACATCATTTCCACCATCTTATCACCAGAATTTGCAGTGATCTTTTCATAAAAATAATTCAGAAAAACTCAAATAATTATGATTATCTCTTTGTTTGATATCGATCATTATTTTAAATACGTAATATGATATGACAGGAGCTTTTCTTTCACATTGGTGTGTTTCTCCACTACGCTGTATCAAATAATAATGTTAAGGGTCAACATTGATGAGTTAAAATATTTGCGAGGAGTGCTTGTTTTTAGTTTTGAAAAAACAATTAAGAAATATGATAGAAAAATTTACTGAATAAAATAAGTATAAAAACTTATTGTTTTTACTTTACTGTTGCTTACTTTTCAATAAATGCGAGTGGGTAAATTAAAATTACACAAAAAGTATGAAATATGAAGGAAAAATAATTAATAATATTTTCAACTTAAAAATTATGAAGTAAAAATACAAAAACTTTATATAATTTCCACTACTTATTCATTTATCTTTTCTCTTTAAATGAATAAGATTTAAGAAGTCATTTTACAAACCTAATAATAAAAAAGATAATATAATTAATTCTATATTGTACATATACTCAATTATGTTATAAAAAATTACATTTAAAAGTATTATATATGTATATATAATTCATATAGAACATTCATAGTCGATTATAATAGTTGATTGTGTATTCTTTTTCCATTTTCTCTATATAAAAATAATAAATAATATTAAAATAATAAATAAATTTATTAATAACAAATAATATCAACACACTTTTACTCATTTCAAGTCTTTTTTATTTATTTTTTAAAATACTTTTACTTTTTTACTTTCTATCTCACCATTAAGTAATAAACTATATTAATTTTTTAATTAAGTTTTAAGTTTATGAAACATTTATTTGTTTTTAATTGAATTTGTAATAAAAAAAAATTCTCTGTTCTGTATTAGAAAATTTTATATTTTTTAATTGAGTATTTATCTTTAAGTTTTGTTTTTATAATGTGACTAATATATTTTTCGTTGATTATTTTCATCTCTAGTATAAAAAATAATTAAAAAATTTTGTCATAAATATCATGATCTTAAATTCCCATATTTCTTAGTATGCGAAGAGTAAAAGGCAAGATCATGGAAAAATAGTAATTACATAGTCCAATTAACAAAAAAATTAAAAATAGAGATTTAATTAAAAAATATATAATTTTAAATATTCAATAAAAAATTAACATAGACTCAACGAAAAATACCTATATTTATTATGAACTTAATTAAGTTTTTTCCCAAATATAAGTAATAAAATAAAAATGAGATGTATTTATGTAAATGAATCTGAAAATTATATAAATGTCGTGTGAGGCGGAAACAACAACAGCTAAGTATCAATAAGAAGAAATGCAAACAAATTTTACAAAAATATTTTGAAAAAGAATAAAGTGGAAAACCGTAAATATCTCCGAGAATTAAGACATGTTTAAAGTAATTTTTAAATAGGCTTGTGTCCAAAAAGATTAAATCGTAGGAAAATATAAATAAAATATAACTAATTTATCCTCTTTTGATCAATTACAAAATATTTAGTATATTTTTATAATTAAGTAATAATAGTAATGAAAATAACAGTAAGAACTCTTAAATAATTTAAGGCAATAATAAGCAGGCACACCGATGGCGTGTATCATGACGGAATTTCGTAGTGTAGTGGATATATAGTTTACCAATAATAGAGGAACCCTATGATAGTTTGACATTAAGGTAGTAACTGTTAATGCATTAAAAGTGGAGCAATTCAACCTAAAAACTTTACCAATAATGATTGGATTAAGATATACTTTAATGTTGCTGAAGACAGTAATTATTTCAGGGAAGTGCATGCTGAGAGTAAGAGCAACTTCTAACAATTTATGATTTATTTTATTCTTGTTTTAGACTGCATAATTTCTTGTGCGACTTTGATTTTACCCCGATAATTGCCAAAAAAGACTTGGACTGATATGATTTATGTGTCTTTTGGGAAAGATTTATTGGACCTTGAGAACATGTATCCTTGAAAAACATAAAGGGTAATCTTATTCATACATATATATATATATATATATATATTTGAGGTCCAGCTCCACATATTATTTAATTATATTTTTTAACTTAAAGTATTTATATATATTATTATATTAATAAAATGATTTATGAAATAAGTGTAGAAGTATATTTTTATTCATCATTAAGCAATTTGCATTAGAACTTTTTTTCACCCATAAAGACAATTCTTCCTGAGAGTTTTTAATAATTAGAAAAAGAACTTTAAAATTATAATGATGATGTATTAATTGCAGTAATGAAAACAAAATGTACAAATTCTTAAGTTTTATTACCAATGAACTATGTTAAGTAATGCAAATTGCAGAAAGGATTAAACATGAAATAATTAACTTAAATGGAGGTGTGCATTACTTAATGACAGAGAAAGTAGAATTTATTCAAAATCATATTGAAAAGTAACAGTAAAAACTTTCTATACAAATATTATATTACAGTAGTCTAACTTACCGGTTGAATTTATAAAAAAAAAAAACAGATTTATCGAGAAAAACATAAATATAAATAAACATAAGTTTAATCACGTAAAGAATTGATATTACTTTTTATTTAAAGTGAGTTAATAGCTATTTATTTTTATATGATATTCTATTTTTTTATTTTTATCAAACGTAAAACTTTGACGAATATGCAAAAGAGGATTAACACCTTACCCTATGTCCCCTCGTCAAAATAGTTTGTATTTAGGGTTAGCACTTTCCTCCAAAAGTCAAACATTACTTACCTTTACCCAATTAAAACCAACCTTGTCTCCTTAAGGTGGTTGAAAGGAAGACAATTCTCTCAAGTAACTACTGAATGTATCACATTTTGAAAATGGTGGGGAACCATCAATATTGCCGCAAATCAATAGACTTAAAATCACCATACCTTGCTAGTCTGAGGAATAGAGATTTGTACCAAAACTCTACTCACGCTAGCAGTCGTGACCAAGACACAAGATTGGTGTCAGTAAAACAACGCGAGTGTAGTTCCAAAAACTAGTTCAAAGCCTCAGTTTGGTCATCCGTTTGAGGATGAGATTGGTAGACAATAGTGTCACTCGATTTAAACATATGTTGTCATAATTTGCAAATGAAAACCGTGTTCCAATTTGATACAAACACTCTTTGGTATCCCATGTTACTTCACCACCATTTGCATAATGCTTCTGTCACCTTAAGACTGGTATGATCAGTCTATAATGGAGCAAATAGTATTTGGATAGTCTATCGATGACCACTAAGATATAACTATCGGAAGGAGGTGAAATCCGTAGCAAAATCTTGTCTGATATGATTTGGATTTGACAATGGGTGTAACAAACAAGCTGAAAGGCTTCAATAGGCTTTGTTCTTTTGTATTTTGTAGTGATTTGGGAGAGATGATTTGAAAGAGATTATTTGAATGAATTTGAGGGTAATTTTTTGGTTGTTTTTTTGAGTGGATTTATCGGTAATTCAGAGTTGATTTGAAAGTAAAGTTTGTGAGAATTAGTGTACGATTTGATTGATGTGAAAGTTTTAAAAAATTTATTTAATTGATAGAAATTAAAAATTACCAAAATACTCCTAGTTATTAAAATAATATAAAATGATAATTGTTAATATTATATTTAATTATAAAAATATTTATAAAAAGTAAAAAATTAAAAAAATATATTAAAATTAATTTTTAAAAAGTAAAAAAGTTATAATTTAGTGAAATGAATAGTATTAATACATGACATGCTATTAATAATTTTTTTTAAAATAACTTAATTAAAATATTTTTTCAAAAGTTAAGATAGAATTAAAACCTAAAAAAAAAAATAAAAACTAACTTAACACGGTTAAACTAAAACGGAACCGAGTAATTAGAACTAGAGTAAAGAAAAACATATTAAAAAGAGGGGCATTTTATAAATAAGAAAAATAAAGTAATTATTGAAAGAAAAAAGGGTTAGCTTAAAAAAGGGTTTTTTGTGGTAAGGAAACAAGATGTAGTGAGAGCAAGGGTTTTTGTCAGGTAATATATGGCGATAGCCGGGCAGTGCAGTGTTGACGCAGATGGGAAGCACGACGATGGAGAAGACGGAGGAGGTACTCCGCAGAGAGATCGATGAGCTTCTTCGCCAATAACGTGAGGTTTTCTTTCTAATGTTTGTTGATTTTGTAGATTACGGAGAGGCCTCGAGATCCTCGAGGTCTTCGTAGAGGTGCCTTGGCGGGCCTGTTCTTCGAACTAATGGGGTGGTGTTCGCCAAACACGAATGCGTCATGAGAGTTGCAAAGAGAAATTAAAAACTGCGATTTTGATTTGAATTGGAATCTCGTTTTGGTTTCAGATTTTTCCTCTCTTCTTCATCTTCTTCACGGTCACGATGATGGCATTTTATAAAAAGATTGAGGGTAAAAAGAACATTTCACCGTGAATCCGTTTAAATCTTCGCAAAACCGCGAGACATGAAAAATTCCTATATCTCGCAAATCAATTTTCACAAATCCTTTTATGTGAACGCGTTTTTTTATCGCAAATTTCTGTAAACAGGAATTTCCCACAAGCGACCAGACACTTGATTACCCTGGAACTATTTACCACATGACACGCTCAAGTTATTGTGCTGGCCTTCATTTTGAGTTGAAAATGCTTCACAAATTTCCTCATATAGTACTATTGTTTTATTAGTCGATTATAGTTTATTGTTTTCTCGTAGCGACAGTGCCTGTAAATCTTGTAAGCGTACAAGACTTTTGGTTGTAGATTTGACGCCCTCGTTTAATCTTGACCGTATATTTCGTGATTAGTAAAATAGTTTTTTTAAGGAAAAGAAAAAGGCGGCTCCCCAAATTTTCATTCAATACAATGTAAAAAGTTCAAAAATAGATTAATCTGTACTGCAACCATGAGATCAATATTTGCTTTTCCAAAAATAATCATTTCAGATTTTCCAGCGTACCAAAACTTAGGAGCGAAAATAAAGGACTACATAGACCAAAAATTTCTTTTCTACCTGTTTCTCTTGTATACTCTTCAGCGTAGCACAAAGTAATCAATGATAAACTTGAATAAGTGTACATTTTCATCTCACTTCGGAGCACACCAAGGGAGATTTTTCATTTCTCAGTGCAGGTTTCTGGAACTTCCCGTGAACCCACACTCTTTGCATGCACTTCCCTTTCTGCCGATTTATAGACTTAACACAACAGTAATCAAGCTCAAGCTGCAGAGTTTATAACATACAAGCAGAGTATAATATGTCAGAAAGACACATTCCAGACATTGAGACTCGAAAAATTTTACAGGAAGACTGACGAAAGATGGAAGGTTCAGAATCATGAACAAACATTGTAACAGTCAACAGATTCTAAACTCAATCCACACACTTAAGAAGGATTAAACTTTGTGCAGGAACACAAGTCATACTAATGTTTCTATTAGAATATAATTAGAAAACAATGTGTTATGTGAAAAGTTTTTGCCCAATAAAAAGAGATAAGTACCTCAGTGAAGCCTGCACCCAAAAATAGGTTCCGGACAGCATCTAAACAAAAGAAATATGACCTTGTTCCATCTGACCGCATGTATTCCCTGAATCCCACTCGCTTGTCCCGCTCAAATCGAAGCATGGTCATATCATAGAGGCCTGATTATAGGAGTAAAGTCATTTCCAGCATCTTAGGTTTCTAAAGATCGACAGACATAAAGGACTACATATAACTAATGATTTTCCTAAAAGCTCCACACAGAGTAAGTTTGCAAGTTTGTTTATTACCATAGTCCCTGAAAAAAACCATGCCTCCTGGCTTCAACACCAAAAAGCATTCTTTGACAGACTTTGGCATCCTTTCAAGCGGTACTGCTGATAGAGTAAAGATCTGACATGGCACATCAAAATACGCCAAAAATGAGAGGTCGTTAATTTTGAACTTACCATATTCAAACGAGTCAATGATATAATCAAAAGATTAAAGATAAAGTTGTTTGTGTATGCCAAAGAATCTAGAGAGCTAATATAGAACGATTAAACATCACTAAAGGCTAAACAATAGAAGTCTTAGAAAGTTAAAGCATGCACTAAACCAGCTGAAAAATAAGAGTCCCAAAGTAGAGTTAAACCTACATAGGAAACAATTGAGGTAAGTGTGAATGCATGTATACTCCAAATTATAGCTATGTAGAGATAAGGAGCATTAACCCCATAATGAAACAAGAAAAAGATAAGGGGCATGACAAAAAAAAGTATGTTCTGGTTCAACAGCTTAACAAAATCCCATAGGTAGCAAAATGGGAAATGAATAGAATATGGGAAAAGAAAGAATGCAGTATATGTTATTGGAGAATGAATGAACAACGAGTACTTCTTTTAACAAACAAAAGAAGCAGCTGACAAATTAGAGCCACATGTAGATCACAAGGACGCCAGAAAATAATAGATTAAATTGGTATTAAAGCTTGAATGCGTGTATCTTCCAAATCAAAACTATAACAAATATAGAAAAGGAACCTTCCGGAGCTTAATGAGAAGACAATCTGCAGTCTAACCACTTTCATAATCCTCATTTTCAAGAATATGTAATTCAAAATACTAAGATTAAGAAAGCAATTTATTAGCCTGAATAATCATAAAATATTTCATTTTTCCCTTAACCAAAATACTCAAACATTGCCCCTACATCAATGTGATCGCATTTTCTCATTCGACTTAGTAGAGATAGATAAAGTTGGGATAAAAAATAAAAACTTCAATTTTCTAAAATGACAGATAAAGTGAAAAAACAGAAATATTCAAAAACACATTTTGCAATGGAGGGTCTGTCAGTTAACATATATTGCTAGGTTGGGATTCGGAATACGCTGTCAAAGAGACATTGTGAAAAAAGAGGCTTTTGAAATAATATATTACATGAAATCCAAGGTAAAGATTACGGCTCTAACACATTCTCATGCTCTGGAAGCACCATATCATTGTACTTAAGGTAATTTTAGAGGAGAAAAGCTCAGACCAATGTTACAAAATCTACTCCGCCAACACAACATTCAACTTCTTCTGATGGATATGGATTGGTAAAATGCAGTCCATTACCCTCTCTGACATCTGGATAGAAACAGAAAGAACCAAGTCTAACTTTTTATGAAGCCATTGCATAAATCAGAACAATTCAACAGCATAAAAAGTATAGCAAAATAACCTGACAAACAGTATGACTGCTTTTGTAAAAATTTATCTCGACAAGGGTCGCATGCCAACCAGTTTGGGAATCCACCAGTGGAAAGATCACAACAGAATGTACGGAAACGATGTTGAAAGGATGCAACTGTGGAGGCATCACTTATAATCTCGTTAGCCCTCTCAAGAGTCTCATCACTACAGTCGCATGCATAAACAGTCAAATCCTTGTTGGCCCTGCACAGGAAAGCTTCATAAGAATTAGAAAACAGCAAGATACAAAATAAAAGGCCATCCCAAAATGACCAAAAGTAAGTTGTTGGTTTTAATCTTCAAATTCAGAAACTACAAATGACCCAAAACCACTATCATGCAATCGTAAACCACCAGCTTCAAAAGCAAGCAAAAGTTCAGAAAAGTCAATCATACACTAATAGAAAACAATTCAAGATTAATTAACTAGTGAATTCAGGTGACCGTTTGCATAATTCATTTCAAATAAAATTTTGGTTAAAATTGCTTTTGCAGTGATTTATGTTTAGATTTTTTTTTTCCTAAAAAGAAGTCAGAAGAAAATTCAGTCCACAGTTTTTTATCCAAAGGCAAACGCTGAAGTGTCTTAAAATCACTTTAGTGGGTATTTGAACACTATTTGAGCTGAATCCAAACACAAACTTAATGTACTATCGATAAATATGAAATAAATAGCGGTGCGTGACGCAGATGGGAAAAGAGAAGAAAAAGGCGAAGAAAGAACCGTAGAATAGGAAGAGCAGTGCTGCCATTGCCGCAACCAACTTCCAAAAGCTTGGAGTTTGGGGGACGGGAGAGTAATTCTGGGAACTCCTTCAACAAATAACGTCTTTCCTGAATGGCAAGAAGCAGTTAGGTTTGGGAAATTGAAAGCGAAAAATGCGTAGAGGAAAAGGGAAGGGACCTTGAAGAATCTTCCAGATGCGTGACGGAGGTGAAATTGCTTCCATGCTAGGACGTCTGATTCGGGTGGATGAGACGATGACGAAGAAGACGCGGATTCAAAGTGGTAGGCATAGGAAGGGTTTGCTTCCACCTCTGCTCGTAGGTCTTCCCAGTGGAAGTCCTTGCAGAAGTATTGTGCTTCTCCTTCACTGCTCGTTGTCCCTTTTTCCATTTGCTTTCCACCTCTTCCTCTCTCTAATTGCCCAATGGGTTTATTAAACCCATTTTGGTTATTATTTTATTTTAAGTGTCATTCTTGATTTTTGTTTACAACACTCATTTTAATAATTTTTGTTTGTATTTTAAACTTTTAATATTTGAGAAGTGTTTTTTTAATATTCAACTTCATTCCACTTAATTCATCTCAACTTTTGTGTTAGGTTAGTTTATTGGAGCATTTTTTATTTTGAATTTGTCTATTTTAATTTTTTGATTTGAGTTTATTTGTTTTGATCATCATCCTAAGTTGATTTCTCGACTTTTAACCTTAGTCAACTCGTCTCGACCTTTGACATAGTTTCAGTCCATCTTAGTTTTTGGTAAGCTCTTGACCTTTGGCTAGGTCAGCCCATCTTTATACTTGATTTAAGAGAGTTTGTCTCAATTTTCAATTTCAAATAACCCGTCTCACGACCTATGTTGATTTTTCTTAGTTTTTGGCCTGAGATGACTCCACTCAGTATATGATCCAAGCGAAAGATATTATTTTTTAAAATTTTGTAATTGAGGAAATTTACCTTAACTCTGATCCTAACCCACTTGAAAATAAGTTTCAAGAGTTGAAGCTTTTCTTAATCTCTTCAATTGGAATCTCTTTAACACTTTGTTCACTTTAATGGATTTGGGAGAGAGTGATTGAATGGATTTGAAAGTAAATTTTTGTTGTTGTTTGTTTGAGTGAATTTGGATGTAAGTGAAAATGAATTTGAAAGTAACTTTTTTTAATCGGTCACATCAATCAAATCCTACCATAATTCTCACAAACTTTACTTCCAAATTCACTCTCACTTACCTCCAAATCCACTCAAATAAACAAAAAAAATTTATCTTCAAATTCATTCAATTACTCTCCTCCAAATTCATTCAAGTAAAGAAAGACTAAAGGAAACTTTTTTAAAAGTAAACTAGAGTTTGTGCGGATCATAAATCAAGTTGAGAACTTTAAATGTGGAAATAACTATTTTTTATAAACGTGTTCATGTATTAAAAAAAATCACCATGTGTTGTGTAATATCGTATATGCAAATAATTAAGAAAATATAAATTACGAAATACACTTTTAGAAAATTTGTATTAATGTAGCATTGAAATGTTATTTACATGTTAAAATAATCTAACTTTCTTCATGATGTTAGAAAACGATTTTGTTGTTTGTACAAAAAAAAAAAGAGTACTTCTCTTAACGTGAAAATAGTATAGTAACTTAGTTATAATTATCAATACAAATTGTAATAAATTCTAAAGTTTTTTAGTAATATTATTAGAAAAGGATAAGTAATACTTTGATTTTTTATGATTTAACATGTTTTTTTGAATTTGAGAAAGATCCAATTCAATAGAATTTATTATTATTATTGTTTATGCTGAAATAGGATGATGATATTTGCCTACGCTCCTTCCGTACTGAACATTCTCCTAACTCTAAGCTCCGACAAATCGATCGGCCTTATAGTCTTGTAATCATGCGTGTCGGGCGTCTTTGTTCCTTCCTTCAGAATATTAAACATTGAATGTGGGTGACCTACGGAGGATATTTCGACACTCAAGTTAGAATTTTTCTCTCTAGGTCTTTTATAATTAATAATAAGTCAAAAGTCCTTATACATCGAAAAAGTAAACCCCTATTTAGAGTTTAAAAGAATCTGACCAATTAATTACCTCTTAATTATCATTAATGCAAACCTTAACCGCTTAACAGTAGTAGTTGTGACATTAATTGTGCCTTAACTGTGCTCAACGATTGTCGAGACCGAACGACTCCGAGACGTATTCTTGAACGTCCATCCGCTCGGTTTTGCTCCTACAATTTGCCACCCTTACCAATCGATTTAGATTCAAATTGATAGTAACAATTATTAATATATATATATATATATATATATATTTTGAATGTGTAATAATTTTACTTGTTATAATTTGAGTTTTACTTTTAAATTGGTACCTCAGTTAAGTTACTCATATTGCTTTATAAAGAATTATTGTAGCTTTATATCTATTTCAACATGAACTTTAGTTTTTTATTTAACATTCAATAACATGATTAATATAGTATTAGTTGTTTTATTAATTATTGAATTGTTTGCTTCGACAACCTAATTCTTATTTAAATGATTAATACACATATACATCAGTTTTTATTTTCTCGAATGAAATTTTAGTATAGATGCATCTTATTTTGTTTTCTACTTGATTATAATAATTTCTACTTCACGTCACATGGTATGTTTAAAAAGTTCTACAGAAATTTTGTAAGAAATGAAGCGCATATTAATCATTATTCGATGAAAAAGTATGAACTCTTTTGATAAATGAATTGATTTTATGATTAGGGTTGTGAAAACAAGTTTTAATATCTGTCTTAACTTGATTTATTATGAATTTGAATTGGATTAAATACTTATTTCGTCCTCATTTTTAAGAGGTAAATTTTTGTTTAGTACCCGGTTTTAAAAATAAAGACATCGGATCCCTATCTATGTTATGAAAAACGACATTAAGTCCATGCTGATATGGTCGTATTTTTTGTCTTCTCTCTTCTGCTGTCCAACTTTTTTCTCTCTTGTTCAATTTTTTCTTTGATGATTTGTTCAAACTTGTTCTTTCTTTGTGGACCTTATTCATATACTTTTCATAACATAGGAACCCAATATCTTCGTTTTTAAAATCGGATACTAAAGAGAAATTCACTGTTTAGCATGAGACGAAGCATTTAAGCCATTTGAATTAGATTAGATTGAAAAAACAATTAAAATTTTAATAAAAATCAATTTTGAATTAATTTAATAAAATTGAAACGGTGATGAGTCAGTTGATTTATTCAGATTAAACACAGTTATGATATATTAATAAGATCCGTTGATTTTATAAATTTCAAGAACTTCTGAAATTAAACAACTAGTAAAAGAGAAAAGCATTGACAAAAGTAAAATATATTTTTTAAAGAAAGTATATATTTTCATAAAAATATAATGTTCTAAATTAAAGTAATACAATGTCGCTACTATCCATGGCAAACAATAAAATTAAGCAAAACCAAGTTTAAAAGTATTCATTAAACATTTTAATGACCAAAATTAAGTAAAGAAGACAAAAGGAATATATAGGGGTGGGTCGTGTCTGTAGCATTGCACTATGAAATATTTCCATTTCCGAACATTCTTCTCAGTTACTGACCTGTGTTTTGTCTCCATTATGTCAATTCTTTACCTAAACACTCTCAAATTCTTATTCCATAACTGTACACTTCCACATACAAATCTTCACAGAATATATCAGTTTGGAGCACGTTTTCACCTGTCTCTTTCCCTAGGGAACTATCACCAAGTTCATGCGCAATAATACTTTTGAAATCACAAGTAAATATTTTTACCTCTCAAAAAACAATTAACAGTTCCTTTCAATTTGTAGTGTTGCACACTGTAGAAAGTTGTGTTTATATATAATAACAACCCGACCAAAAGATTCTTTTTTCTTTCTATAAACACTTTGATCAACAAAAATTCCATTTTTCTTCCTCTGACCAGTGCCCTTTCTATATATATATGCATAAAAAAATCTGACAACAAACCAACCACAGCTTTAACCAGTTTGATTCTGAACTACTGTGTTCCTTCTCTTCTTCTCTCGTGTTCTTCTGCTCAACTTCCTTTATGTCCCATGGCATCAACATCCACACCAAGGTCATGTTCAGAACTAACTATCACGGTTGAACACAATCCTTCCAAATCACGATTAGCCGAGCTGGGTATAAATTCGTGGCCCAAGTGAGTGAAATTTATCAAGTCTTTATCTTTTATCTGTTTTCTGCCTTTCCTTTTTATTGGGTGTCAGAGAATTTCTTTTCTTAGTGTGTGGATGATTAACCGATGGATCTGATGAAATTTTGTGTATTTTCAGATGGGGTTGTCCTCCTGGGAAGTATATGCTCAAATTCGACGCTCAAGAGACGTGTTATTTTCTGAGAGGGAAAGTGAAGGTTTATCCAAAAGGTTCGTCTGAGTCAGTCAAATTTGGTGTGGGGGACCTTGTCACCATACCCAAGGGACTTAGTTGCACATGGGAGGTATCCGTTGCAGTGGACAAACATTACAAGTTCGAGTCTTCTTCCACCCCTACACCTTCCTCCAAATGTATCACTGATATCTGAATGTTATTTTATTGTTTATCGTGCTTGATATTCACTAGCAAAAGAATTTTTAATAAAGGGTTCGGGAGGGGTAGAACTTGAAACGAATATATATTAGGGTTATATATTATAACTATATAATATAAATGTTTGTTTCGAATTCAATATTTGAAGTTGTCTTTGCTTCTGTATATGACTGAAAAATGTATAGCTTATCTAGGAAAGAAAAGAGCATGCATATGTATCATCTCGTGTTTCAGGATGCATGCACTTTTCTGTGTTGCGGATGCTAATTTTGACCGGTCAGCTTTAATTTCTTGGCCATTTACTATTCATGTGCAATAAGAAGCTTGCTTTGCCTTCTCTTTACTTTACATGCTGCAATTATCAGTATCAGAATAGATGCTTGTGTAACAAATAACGATGGTTCTTCTTTAGTTTTGATCTTTGTGCATGTGATCCTAGAACCACAACCTTGAAAATCTCAGAGTTTATGGCATGTGCAAGAATATAGGAGGCAAATGTTGCATGCAGCATATTCTTTATTGATTAGGAATTGATGCTGGAGATTTGCACCGTTGATGTCTAGGTTGACCCTTTAGCACAGAATAAAGGGTACCAGCATTACATTATTTTTTGGGTGAGGGCAACATATCTATATGCATCTTTCAGCTTATTTGCTATTTGTGGGCGCATGAAAATTTATTTTAATTTCAACGATGGCATGCCTTTAGTTTTTGGATAAGAAATACATTTTTGTCTTTATACCAAAGGCCTCTTGTGGGATGGTTTCTCTTCTGCAAATTTAATGGTACGTGTTGTTTTCTTTATTTTATGTGTCATTTGATTTAGATTCTATTGACTGCAAT